ACCTAGATATCATCTTTAAGAAATTATCAGGGGCAACTAGGTGGCACACAGTGGATAGAGCACTGGCCCTGCAGTCAGAAGGACCTGAGTTCAAATCTGATCTCAGACCAGACACTTGATACTTACTAGATGTGTGACCCTAGGCAAGTCACTTAATCCCAAATGCCTCACCAAAAAACAAACAAGAAATTATCAAGAAAAACTGCTGTAATATTCTAGAACCAGTGGGTAAAATAAAAATTGAAAGAATTTGCCAATCATCTCCTGAAAGAGATCTCAGAGCTCCCGGGTGAAGGAGAAAATATTGCAAGCAGCCAAAATGAAACAACACAAACATCATGGAGCCACAGTCAGAATAACACAAGATTTAGCAACTGCTACATTAAAGGAATGGAGGGCTTGGAATATGATATTCTGGAGGGCAAAGGAGCTAGGTTTACAACCAACAATCATATACCCAGCAAAAGTGAGTATAATCCTTCAGGGGGAAAAACTCATATTCAAATGAAATAGAGGTCTTTCCTGCATTCCTGACAAAAAGATCAGAGCTGAAGAGAAAAGGTGACTTTCAAATACAAGACTCAAGAAGCATTAAAAGGATAAACAGGAAAGAAAAATCATAAGGGATTCAATAAGGTTACTGCTTACATTCCTACATGGGAAGATAATACTTGTAACTCCTAAGAACTTTCTCATTATTAGGGCAGTAAGAAAGAGTATTCACAGACAGAGGGCATGAGTGAGAGTTGAATATGATGGGATAATATCTAAAAAAATATTGATTGGGGCGAGAAAGAGGAATGCACTGGGAGAAGAGAAAAGGGAGAAACAGAATGGGGTAAATTATAAAAAAGGTGCAAAGAAGCTTTTACATGGGGACAACGGGTAGTGCTTGTACCTTACTCTCATGGGAACTGGCTCAAAGAAGGAATAACATACACACTCAGGTATGTAAATCTATCTTATCCTACAGGAAAGTAGGAGGGGAAGGGGGAAAGAGAAAGCAAGGAAGGCTGATAGAATGGAGGACTGGGGGAGATGGTGGTCAGGAGAAAAACACTTTTGAAGATGGACAGGGTGGAAGAAGAGTGAGAGAGGAGGGTAAGGGGAGGTGGGAAATAGGATGGAGGAAATACACATAACTGTGAAAAAAAATTACAGCAAGTTTCCCTGAAAAAGGCCTAATTTCTCAAATTTATAGAGAACTGAGTCAAATTTATAAAATAGGAGCCATTACCCAACTGATAAATGGCCAAAGGACATGAACAGGTGAAGTAATCAAAGTTATCTATACTCATATGAAAAAATGCTCTAAATCAACATTGATTAGTGTGATGTACACCAAAACTCTGAGATACCACTCCACAGCAAACAGATTAGCTGATATGACAGAAAAGGAAAATGACAAATGTTGGAGGGGATGTGGGAAAACTGAGATACTAATGTACTGTTGGTGGAGTTGTGAACTGATTCAACCATTCTGGATAGCAATTTAGAACTATGTCCAAAGGGCTATAGAACTGTGCATGCCCTTTGACCCAGCAATATCACTACTAAATCTGTATCCCAAAGAGATCATAAAAAAGGGAAAAGGACCCACATGTACAAAACTATTTATAGCAGCTCTTTTTGTGGTGGCAAAGAAATTGAGGGGATGCCCATCCACTGGGGAATGGCTGAACAAGCTGTGGTATATGACTGTAATGAATACTATTGTGCTATAAGAAATGATGAGCAGGCAGATTAGTGAAATAGAGGATTTTCAAGCATTCCTGATGAAAAGACCAGAGCTGAACAGAAAATTTGGCATTCAAACACAAGACTCAAGGGAAGCAAAGTAAATAAACATGAAAGAGCAATCATAAAGGTTTCAACAAAGTTAAACTGTTTACATTCCTATATAGGAAGATGATACATCTAACTCCTAAGAACTTTATCATTATTAGGGCAGTTAAAAGGAGTTTATATAGACAACACAGAAAGGAGTCCATTATGTTGGAATGATTTCCAAAAAAAATGAAGGGGTGAGGAAGAGGGATGAACTGGGAAAAGGAAGAAGCAGAATGCAGAAATTTTTCTCACCTAAAAGAGGCAGCCAAGGAAGAGCTTTTACAGTAGAAAGGAAAATGGGGGGGTGGGGAGGGTGACAGGCAATGCTTGAACCTCATTCTCATCCCAATTGGTTCAAAGAGGGAAGAAAACAAATACACACACACACACACTCAGTTATGTACAGAAATATAACTTACTAAGGAAATAGAAGAAGGGGACAAGAAACAGGAGAGGGGGATGATAAAAAGGGAGGGCAGATTAAGAGAAGCAGTGGTTAAAAGCAAAACAGACTTTCTAGAAGAAGAAAAAAGAAAATTGGATGAAGGGAAAAAAAGCAAAAATTGAGCAAATTAAAAAGGAACAACCAGGGAAATTACATTTTGCTAAAAGGTACCACAAACCATAAAGTTATATCAAAAATTTTACAGCAAGTTTCTGTGTAATAAAGACTTGAAATATATACTGAGCATAGAACTGAGTCAAATTTATGAAAATAAGAACCATTCCCCAATTGATAAATGGTCAAAGAATAGAAAAAGGGAGTTTTCAGAAGAAATCAAAGCTATCTATAGTTAAATTTTTTTTAAATGCTCTAAATCACTACTGATTAAAGAAAGGCAAATTAAAGCAACTCTGAATTACCACCTTGAACATATCACAAATGACAAATGCTAGAAGAGAAATGCTAGCAGGAGTACTAAACTGGTCCAATCATTCTTTAGAACAATTTAGATTTAGAGGGCAGCTAGGTGGCACAGTGGATAGAGCACTGACCCTGGATTCAGGAAGACCTGAGTTCAAATCCAGCCTCAGACACATAACACTTACTAGCTGTGTGACCCTGGGCAAGTCACTTAACCCCACTGCCTAGCAAAAAAAAAAAGAACAATTTAGATTTAGGCTATAATTGATATATTACTTACCTTCTCAATGGGTAGGTGAGAGAATGGGAGGGAAGGGGAGAATTTGGAACTCAAAATTTAAAAGGAAAAGAAGTTAAATGTAAATAAATAATGAATTTTCAGAATTACTTTTTAAAGAAAACGAAATAAAGTACTCTTGATAAAAAAAAAAACCAACGTTCCTCAATATATATTCCTGGTCTTTCCAATGCATAAATCTCTCTAGGAAGGCAACCAACTAACTCGGCTTCCTAGATAGTCTAAAATGATATTTGTTGATAACAATCCTGCTCCTTCCAGTTTAAACTTTGCAATGACTTTAAAAGGATGGCATATAATTTGAAAGCCACCACCAGAGTTTTCAAAAGCCTCTAAAAAATTCAAATACAGTTAACCAGCTTTACATTAATGGTAGTTCCCCAAATCCTAGCATATCATTGTTTTCACAAGATTTTCCCTGCAAGTACGAACTGAGAAAAAGAAAGTTTATTCCTCAAGAGATAGTCCTCTTGGACTTCCTCTTAAGGATATATCACTCTCAATCAAAATGTTTAGTTAGTTACACTGCTAGTTGGAGGTGGACCATTACACTGAAAACTACCATTTACGATGCCACAAAATAATGTCAACAATTGATATTTATACAGTAAAGTTTCCACTTGGCTTTACAATTCACCTTGCTGATTGATAAAATTTTCGGTAGGAAACTAGTCAAGCACTTGATTTATTTACCACACAGACTTTTCATTTTCTCTAAAATGCAGTTTGTTCAAGATTCTTCTAAAAAACCTTAAAGCTCTAATTAAGGTGCATTTTTTTATTAATACTGTGCCCCTACTATTTTTTGTAAAGACCCTATTTTTCTGTTCAAGGAAATCTTTGAAGTCAGTTTTTGAAAGTCTTTTGGACCCCCTTATAAAAATGAAGTGCTGAGTGAGTTTTTTCTAAAAGTTGTTACTTTTCCCTTTATAATTTTAAGCTTTCACCAGGAAGCCCACATTCTATAAGCTCCAATATCTTTGCTATTCAATGTTATGGTACTCAAATAGCAAAAAGGTCAAACATTCACACTGACATATACAAAGTTTTAGTAGTTCTAGTTTATAAAATACTTTTGTACCTTTTTTAAGGCCTCCTTTCCTAGTAGCTTGGTCATAAACGGTATCTTACGTGGTCATCCCCTATTTGATGACTATAAAAACAACTATTTAAAAAAAGTCCCTGCTTCCTAACCACCTCATGTTCATCCAAAAGAAATCTGGTTAATCCCTTAACCCAAACGTAGGGGGGAAAAAAAAACATCCACGAGAACCAAAAACTAAGGTCCCCAGCCTTCCTAAAGCTTCCATCTCATAGAAGAAGCCCCTTAGCTCCCTTGCCACCCACCCACCCCCACAAGGCAACTGCTTTTAAACTTAAGATAGAAAGCTCCACTTCCTTCAGTCAACACTGATACCTTGGCAAGTACATACCCCTTCACTCCGCCCCCACCGCCCCACGTGAAACCTCATTAAAGGAGGGTCAACCCACCGGGCTCAAGGCTTCCTCACCTACTCCTCTCACTATCCCCTCCGCCCTGGGGAGGGGGTCACTAAGCGTCCCCCTGGGTCATAGGGAGGGGGCTACTGGGAGTGCCCCACTCCGTTATGGGGAGGGGGCAGTTAAGGTTACTTCGCTACTAGAGGTAAGGTAGCAAGAGAGACAAGAGTGATCTTAGCAAGTCGCCACCCACCGTCTCAGGCCACACCTGGAGCCCCTGCCCCAGGATCCGTAGGAGGTGGCCAGGGAGCCGGGAGACTTGGGGGTAGGACGGGGGACCGTAAACCAGGAGCCCAGCAACGACAGCTTAGCCATATCTCATCCCGGGACCGGCCCACCCCACACACCCCAACGACAGCTGCAAATACTCCCGTCGCAGCCGGCCCCGCTCCATCGGCCCGCACCTCCCGAGCCCGGGGGGAAGGGAAAGGGAGGGTGGGAAAGCCGTCCGAGGGCCAGGCCCTGGTCTCCGGCGCCGCCGCCCCAGGCCGGGAGGGTCTCCCTCACCTTCGTACTGCAGATCCACCAGGACAAGCAGGAAGGGGAACACCGAGCCCAGCCGGTTAGTCACGGAGCCGAGGGACACCATGGCCGAGGGCGCTTGGGGGGGGGAGGAGGAGGAGAATGCGGGAACTGACCAGCTCCCGCGGCCGCTGTAGCCGCTCCGGCCACGGCTGCTGACGGGAGTAGGGGGCGGGGCCGCGGACGCCGCTACGCCCCGGGCTCTCCCGCAGCCGTCCAATCGCGTACTTCCAGAGCGCCCTCTAAGCGGGCTCGCCTGGGTCGTGGTCGGCGCTGATAAGCTGCCGAGGCCCTAGCCCCGCCCCCTCCCTGATAGGATAACGTGGAAGCACTAGACGCAAAGGCGTCCGCCTGCCGCGAGCTGTCAGAGAACCCTTAGGCTGGCTCGGCCGGGAGGTGGAAAGAAGGGGGGAGCTGTGGGCTGGGGGAAAGAGCCCGCCGGGAACCCTGGAGGGTTGAATTTGGACGAAGACAGCGTCAGGAGGCGCATGCGCCTGGGGCGGTGTGTGAAGCTTCTGCTCACGGGAAGTGGCCACCCTCTAGTCTCGCTTTTCCGGTGATGGTCAGGCAGAAGTGACTCCGACGGCCGAGCTGAGGAACCGCGGGGGCTAGCTCCGGGGCCACAGACTTGTACCTGGAAGGGGCCTTCGAGATCTTCCAGTCCCGCCTCCACCCCGCGCGTCACTGCTAAGGAAATTGAGGCAATGAAGGGCTGAAAGCTAAGCCCAGAATGAACACGTGTGCTCGGTGGGGCGGGGGGCGCGGGAGGAGCTGCGGTGCTTTCGTTTTCACCGGGTCCTGCCGGGCGGGGCTGTACGGAGACACAACTACGGAACCGAGTAACCGGAAGGTGGGGGGGAGAGGGGAAGATGCTCCTGTAAAGTTACAGGATTTGGTGGGACTTAGCGGGAGAAGGAGTGTGAACCCGAGCTGATGCAAGTCAGGAAGGTCCGACAGTAAACGCAAGCAGCCCCCGAGGGGGATCTGGCCTGGGCAGACAGAAGCATTCAGGAAAAGAGGCTGGTTCAGCTGGATGCCCTTGAGGAGAAAGTCTGCGGGTTGACTGGAGTGTTTGTCCAGCCTGTATTTACCGGTAAAGCTTTTGTAGAATCAGACTATCCCCCCCCTTAAAAGAAAAAAAGTCCTTGCATCTTTAGTAACCAGGGCAATTGAAGAAAAAAAGTAAAGGGGAGTTTCACCAGGAAGTGAAACTGCTATACAAATATCTCATCCTCACAACAACAGGAAACTCAGACAAACATGCCTGTCATCACATAGTTAGCAAACATCTGAACTCTGATCTTCCTGACTCCAGGCCTGGTGCTCTATCCTCTCTATCCCCCTTGCTGCACCATCTAGCTGCTCCGATCTAAAAAAAAAAAGAAGTTAGAGAAATCCATGGTTCCAAGCTTGGAGTTGACGTCCCTGAGTCATTAGTTTAGTGGTGGTAAAAAGTTAAAAACATCAAAATGCTAGAGAACCTTCTGTTTTAGGGTATCTGAACCCATTTGAGTTAATCACATTCCACAAGCTGTGTAAGTGGACAGAGAAGTGGCAGATGAACTTCAGGGTGAGCAGGTGTAAGATAATGAAGACATCAACCCAATGGGATGGGATGGCCAAAAGATCAAGAAAATAGTGGGCTGTGTCATGAAGAAACAGAAAAGGTTTATCATGCTTCTGTAATGCTTATTTTTGTCGTTAAGATATAAGGAAGTTGAAAGAAGTCTAAGGAAGGACACCTAAAATGATCAATTTAGGTTTTGATCTTATTGGAGTCTTAAGTAAGGGCTCTTCTATTGGAAATAAAAGGTTATGGAGTTCTGGATAAAGTGAAATTTGTTTACCGAATACTGGAACTAAGAACTTGCTAAAGTTTTAGTAAGCCAGACAATTTGGAAGCTTTGGAGTTAAAGTCACTAATGTCCTATATTTTAGGTTTACAGTAAATAATGGAAGTTTGTGTATTCTTATTTTTCATTTGTTCTCATTTATGTATTTGAATACTTCTATTTGTCCATTGAAACTAAACATGTAAAAAATATTGGGACAAATAAAAGGAAACCAGGATAAACCATTATTGGTGGATTCTAGGTGGTTTAAGAATGGTGCATCTCTGCATTTGAAAATTCTATTCCATGCATATTACTATCCATCCAAGGCTTTGACTTCAACTTCATTGCAACACATGTGACTTAACTTATCACAAAACAAATACCTAGGTGCCATGGAAAACAATTTTCTGGCATTTAAAATACTTACAAAAAGTAATGTTTCAAAGTGTCTTTCGCTGCATGCTCACCTCATATCACATCTGTTGTGCCCTAGGTAACTATAGCCCTTGTTTATTTCCCAACTTTGAGTACTACTTTATAGCCCTAGGTAATAACTATGTAAGACTTCTATCCAAGTAAGTGTTACAGTATTAATAGATATTCAAAGTCATGAATAATGTATTAATAATAAACTATTAAAACAAACTACTAATATTTAGAGGCAATTCCTACATGAACAATGGCCCAGAATGGCATTTCATATATTATCACATAAGAGTTGAAGGGCCTTTCTTTGCAGCCAGAAACAGTGAAAGGAAGGGGCAGCCCGCCCTGCAGCCCACTCATCCACATTTATCCAACCCATACCCAGAAAATAATGTCTGCTATAACATATCTGACAGCACTGCTTGAAGACTTTCAGTATAGGGGAACACACTACTTACTGTGGCTGTCCATTCCACTTTTGGAGAACTTTAAGATTTAGGAAGCGTTTTACCTGACATTGTTTAAATTTGCCTCTTTGTGACTTCTGCCCATTTTTCCTAGTTCCACCTTCTAGGGCTAAGTAAAGCAAATCAAATTACTTTTCCACATGAGCCCGTCAAATACTGGAAGATAAAAGTTTCTTCTCCAAACTCAACAACTCCTGTTACTTCAACAAGTCTTTCCCCCTCCCCCACCTTCCTCTGTCCACATAGGGTATCATATCCTTACCTGGGGGTGCTATGCCCAAAGGAATGTAAATTTTGATTGCTGAAACCTGGATATTTTGAAGTTTACAGGCTAGATTTCTTAAGGACTATGCCTTATCACTCTGACTGTCATTGAGTGGCCAACAGTAGGTTCCAGCCCAAGCCTCACTTGGTCCTTGTTTGGGCCATGATGGCTTAGAGTGAGGGTAAATTGTGATTGTTTCACTTTTGGCCAGAAACCCTGAGGGTCTTCCCCTCCCAGATTGATTTTTTTGACTAGGTAAAAGGCCAAGGTCTCCCCAGTATCTAGGCCACCTCCAGTCCTGATCTATATTTTGCCACTGGACCTAGATGGCTCTGGAGGAGAAAGTGAAACTAATGACTTTGCATGTGCTTCCCTCACTTAAATCCAATTCACTTGTAAATAATGGCATCACCTTCCTGATGTTATGGTCCTCTTCCAGAATGAAGGACAAACAACAACCACCACCTCATAGGGCAGAGACTTAAGGCCCTTCAGCATCATGGTTTTCCTCTTCTGGACCCTCTCCAGCTTTCCTAAGTACTTCCTAAACTGTGGCACTCCAAACTGACCACAGTATTTCTAATGTGGTCTGGCCATGGCAGAAAGGGCTATCACCTTGTAGAAGCTATTATAGTACTGCAGCCCAAAATCAAATTAACTTTTTGGTCATCACAACACATAAGGCCAACATCCTGAGCTTATTTACAGTCAGTTAAAACCACCAAAATTTTCCTAGACAAACTGCTATCTAATCCTACCTCAGCTATCTTGAATTATAAAGTTGATTTTTAGAACCTAAGTGGAAGACTACATTTTAGCGCTTTATGGTAATCTTACTATTTTCTAACCAAGGTTAAATCAAGACCAATTTGGATCCTGTTTCTGGCATCCACTATGTTGGTTTTCCCACCTGGCTGTTATCTGCAGATTTGATAAAATGTGCCACCTTTACTTTTTTCCAAATGATTGATAAAAATGTTGAACAGTGGAAGGTTAAACCTCAATTGCTGGGATACTCCATTACAAACCTGCCTCACTGAATCAATAAGTGCTCCTCAGAGTCCACCTTTGCAAGCAGTTTCATATCCGTTGTGCATTCATCCAGCACATGTCCCTCCATTGTTTCCAGAAGAAAGGAAATACTTTTATCAAATGCATTTTCTCAAATTTAGGTAAACTACAGCCTATTTGTAGCATTCCCCTCATCTGCCAGTTTAGTAACCCTGCCAAAAAGAGGAATAAAGTTATTCTACCATTTAGATGGTTTTTATGGAGGCATGCTCATTCATTATAATCACCAATTTCTTTAGACATGGACTATCTCTTTAATAATACTCTAAAATTAAAGAAATTGAGATCAAGTTTGTTCACCTATACTTCTCAGGCTCTGTGCTCTAACCCTTTTTTAAAAATTGGGATAGCACTTGAACTTTTCCAAACTTGTGACTTTCCCGTTCTTAATTATCTTTCAAATATCAGCAACAGTGGCCTAGTGGTCACATCTGCCAGTACTTCCGGTAGCCAAAGATAGCATTCATTTGGGCCAGGTAATGAATGAATCAAGGGTAGCAGCTAAGTGGCTCTCTTGGCTAATTCCCCACTGGCCGTTTGTGTCTACTACAAGGGTCATTTCCAGTGGCCAAGAAAACAGAAGCAAAATAAGGGAGCAACTCTGCCATCTTTTCTGTTGTCCCTAAGCAGCAGTCCTATATGTGGGTTCTCATTTCCCCAACTAGCTAAAACAAACCAAAAAACTCCACAACCCTTTGTTATCCTTTCCAGCCCCAATTCATTCAAAGCTTTAGGACTACTGACACTATTTTTACCAGACAATGACATGTTCACATTAATCCTGTTGATGAGGTCTAGAGGTTTAGGGGTGCTGGGACCCTGAGATCATGACACGTGGGTCCTGTCTGAAAGAATTCTACCCAAGCCTTCTTTTAGCCAAAGACAAGGTTTATTAAAGATCTGCCTTATTAGCCAGACTCTTAAGGAATCTGAACATCTGTAAGGTATTTAAGAATCTGAGCATCTTAATGGAGACAAGATGGACCTTATATACAGAAAGACTATGGGAGGGATCTAGGAGTGGCCAAGTAGTCTAAGAGGTAATAGAACTCCAGGGACCTGGACCTGAGGCCAAAAGAGAATGGAGCCTAGATAGGATTGAGGGTGAGAAGTGGCC